GCCTGTATCGTTGTAGTGACTGGATGTATTGATAACACCATCCAAACTGTAATTAATAACTTCCCCATGTTCAAAGGGATATTCAATGTCTGCTTTTTTATTTTTACCCATCTACCAATAGGTGCCCTTCTTTGCGAGGCCTTGGAAAAACTCCCTGGTCTTTGGGGTTGAATCTGTGTCTAGAATTCACTGCTCGACTGAGGGACCTTACAGATAATTGTATGCCACTAGGCACACACTGGCTGAATCAACGTTATTTCCACGTCATTTAAATAAAATTACGTTGAACCAACGTGGTATAGATGTTGAAATGACGTCTGTGCCCAGTGGATTTCCATTCCATTAGTCTGAATCAGAGCCAGTAAAACACAACAGGAGACCACATCAAGTATTCTGCCTACCATAGAAATAGAATCAAAAACATAGATAAATAGTCTTCTATGTCTATGTTCTGAACCCTGCAAGGCAGACAGGCAGGAGGATTTAGGAGGCCCATCAAACAAATGGAATTGGTACATTTGACCTATTCCCTTCATAGTTGTTCCTCTCCTTCCCTACATCTACCCATCCTCTGTATCACCAATGCCCTCTATCTTCGACACCTCCACATCCCTAGTACCTCTGTAGTCCACACCTCAGTTTAGCGCTCTGCCCTACACACCTCCACACATCCTGCCTGCTCACCCTACCTTTAAAACCCAGCCTACAGAAATGCCCAGCCTTCTGCTTCATCCTCCCACTACACACACAGGCCTCACACACAAAATTACAAACATACACGCACATTCCCCAACCCTGCCTACTCTGCTAGTCCACAGAACTAGTCCACTATATTTGATGGAAGTTCTGCTCTCACACACACACACACACACACACACACACACACACGCTGCTCCGAGTCCACACCTAAACCTGGTTGTAATTGGGTGTGTATTTCCAGCAGGCAATAAATAAAATGCCGGCTGTGCTGACAGGACCCCAGCTAGAGAGGGGAGCACACACACACGCACACACACACACACGCACACACACACACACGCACACACACGCACACACACACACACACACGCGCACACACACACATGCGCACACGCACACACAGTTGGCAGGCCTCATTCGGTATAGTACCAGATGCTCTGTTCTGTTCCTCCAAGCAGGATAGTTTGGACTCGGGGGCCATTTGTTTAGCCTTGGACGGCGGCCCGTTAACAATTATCCCATGGTTCGCACTATGCACAAACACCCAGCCAGCCGAGAAACACAGGGGGACTGACTGAGAAGTTGTTAGTTTTCCACTGTGTTGAGTGTGTGATTTATTTTTTACGGGAACTTAAAATAGTTGATTGAGGTGTTGTGAATGTGAAAGGTTGATTAAAGACACACAGACAGACATGGGAAAGGAGACACCCAGTGGGAAAGGGGATACCCAGTGGGAAAGGAGATACCTAGTAGGAAAGGGGATACCTAGCGGGAAAGGGGATACACCTAGTGGGAAAGGGGATACCCAGTGGGAAAGGGGATACCCAGTGGGAAAGGGGATACCTAGCAGGAAAGGGGATACACCTAGTGGGATAGGGGATACCCAGTGGGAAAGGGGTACCTAGTAGGAAAGGGGATACCTAGCGGGAAAGGGGATACACCTAGTGGGAAGGGGATACCCAGTGGGAAAGGGGATACCCAGTGGGAAAGGGGTACCTAGTAGGAAAGGGATACCTTAGCGGAAAAGGGGATACCCTAGTGGGAAAGGGATACCCAGTGGGAAAGGGGATACACCAGTGGGAAAGGGATACACCTAGTGGAAGGGGATACCCAGTTAGGAAAGGGGATACCCAGTGGGAAAGGGGATACACCTAGTGGGAAAGGGGATACACCTAGTGGGAAAGGGGATACCCAGTGGGAAAGGGGATACACCTAGTGGGAAAGGGGATACACCTAGTGGGAAAGGGGATACACCTAGTGGGAAAGGGGATACACCTAGTGGGAAAGGGGATACCTAGTAGGAAAGGGGATACCCAGTGGGAAAGGGGGTACACCTAGTGGGAAAGGGGATACCCAGTAGGAAAGGGGATACCCAGTGGGAAAGGGGATACCTAGAAGGAAAGGGGATACCTAGTAGGAAAGGGGATACCTAGCGTGAAAGGGGATACACCTAGCGTGAAAGGGGATACACCTAGTGGGAAAGGGGATACCCATTGGGAAAGGGGATACCTAGTAGGAAAGGGGATACCTAGTAGGAAAGGGGATACCTAGCGTGAAAGGGGAAACACCTAGTGGGAAAGGGGAAACACCTAGTGGGAAAGGAGATACCCAGTGGGAAAGGGGATACCCAGTGGGAAAGGGGATACACCTAGTGGGAAAGGGGATACACCTAGTGGGAAAGGGGATACCCAGTGGGAAAGGGGATACACCTAGTGGGAAAGGGGATACCTAGTAGGAAAGGGGATACCTAGCGGGAAAGGGGATACACCTATAGGGAAAGGGGATACCCAGTGGGAAAGGGGATACCCAGTGGGAAAGGGGATACCCAGTAGGAAAGGGGATACACCTAGTGGGAAAGGGGATACCCAGTGGGAAAGGGGATACCCAGTGGGAAAGGGGATACACCTAGTGGGAAAGGGGATACCCAGTGGGAAAATGGAGACCCAGTGGGAAAGGGGATATCCAGTGGGAAAGGGGATATCCAGTGGGAAAAGGGATACCCAGTGGGAAAGGGGATACCCAGTGGGATAGGGGATACCTAGTAGGAAAGGGGATACCTAGTCAGTTGCACAACAGAATGCATTCAACCAAAATGTGTCTTCCGCATTTAACCCAACCCCTCTGAATCAGAGAAGTGCGGGGGGCTGCCTTAATTGACGTCCAGTTGTTGTTGGGAGTTAACTGCCTTGCTCAAGGGCAGAACGGCAGATTTTTAAACCTTGCCAGTTCGGGGATTCCAACCAGCGACCTTTCGGTTACTGGCCCAACGCTCTTAACCGCTAGGCTACCAGCCGCCCACTGGACATGCACTCGCTCGCTCGCTCGCTCACTCACACACACACACACACACACACACACACAGTGTGAGATCAAAGTAAAGAAGACTGAACTCACACACAGGACATGCAGGGCCACAGCTCCTTCTGTCCTCTCCCTGTGGGTGAACAGATCTGTAGGGAACTCGTGCAGAGCTGGAAGAGACAGAGACATCGGGTTACACAAGCAAGAGAGTGTGTGTTTGTGTGTGTGTTTGAATTGCGTGTGTCTATGTTCTGACGTCCTGTGAGGTCAATGCTACTAGCAAGCTAATGGAGGACACAGAACTCATATGAACTGACAAGGGCCAGCCCTGCAGCACCTTGCCGAAATGTGTATTTGTGTGTGTGTGTGTGTGTGTGTGTGTGTGTGTGTGTGTGCCTGCGTCCATCCATCTGTGAGTGTGTGTGTCCGTCTGTGTGTGTCTGTATGACAGTCCTGCAGCATCCTGCCAAGGATTGTGTGTGTGTGTGAGAGAGAGTGTGTGTGTGAGCGTGCACGCCTCCTCTGAGAACTGAAAGACCCACCAGAGGAGAGGAGAAAAAGAGATGGAAAAAGTGAGAGTGAAGAAGAGGACAAAGAGAGGGCAGAGAGGAGAGAGAGAAAGAGTAAAAATAGAGCTCAGGGTTAGGATATGTAGGGTGAGGAGGGTAGAGGGATGAGGAGGAGAGAGGGGAATTATAAATGGAAAGAGAGTAAAGGGAAGGGGTACAAGAAGTGCTAGAAGCGAAAGAGAGGGGGAAAAAGAGAGGGGGGAAAAGAGAGGGAGAGAGAGAGGGGGAAAAGAGGGGGAAAGAGAGGGGAAAAGAGGAGGGGAAAGAGAGAGGGGGAAAGAGGAGAGGGGAGAGAGAAAAGAGGGGGAAAAGAGAGGGGGGAAGAGAGAGGGGGGAAAGAGAGAGGGGGAAAAAGAGAGGGGGAGAAAGAGAGGGGGGAAGAGAGGGGAAGAGAGAGGGGGAAAGAGAGGGAGGGAAAGAGAGAGGGGAAAGAGAGGGGGGAAGGAGAAGAAAGGGGGAAAAGAGAGAGGGGAAAAAGGGGGAAAGAAAGAGGGGGAAAGAGAGGGGGAAAAAGAGGGGAAAAGGAGAGAGGGGGAAAAGAGTGAGGGGGAAAGAGAGAGGGGGAAAAGAGTGAGGGGGAAAGAGAGAGGGGGAAAGAGAGAGGGGGAAAGAGAGGGGAAAAAGAGAGGGGGAAAGAGGAGGGGAAGAGGGAGAGGGGGAAAAAGAAGAGGGGGAAAGAGGGAGAATAAGAAAAGAGAGAAAGAAAGAGAGCAGAAAATACCTATGTTATCCACACGTCTCACTCCACACTTCCATGCCTTCCTTCCTTCCTTCCTCTCCCTCCATTCATTCATTCTCGTTCCTTCCCTCTCCCTCCATTCATTCATTCTCATTCCTTCCCTCTCCCTCCATTCATTCATTCTCATTCCTTCCCTCTCCCTCCATTCATTCATTCTCGTTCCTTCCCTCTCCCTCCATTCATTCATTCTCATTCCTTCCCTCTCCCTCCATTCATTCATTCTCGTTCCTTCCCTCTCCCTCCATTCATTCTCCAGACCCCTCTCTCCTCCTCTCCTCCTTTCTCCCTTCATTATCCCACCTCGTCCACCAATCAACAGTATTTTCATGGGCCACTGCTAACATCTGCTCCAGATTTCACCACGTTTCCACTGGAAAGGCCAGCCAGACGGTCAAAGTTGTGCTAGCTAGTAGCTATAGCTAGTAGCTAGCACAACCATTGCTTCCACTAATGCTAATAGGTGCTAATACAGTGAGGCTATTGCTAACTAAAATGTAATTTCACCACTTTCCACTGGAAAAGCCAGACAGACAGTCAGAGAGCTAGGCTAACTATAGTAGTTACTGCAGCAATGCTATTGCTACAGTAGCGATGATATTACTAACTTAAGCTAGCATTCTGTGGTGATTTCAACACGTTTCCACTGAAAAAGGCCAGCCAGAAAGTCAGCTAGCTACAGCAGTGATGCTATTGCTACATAACAGTGGTGGCTGGTGGCACTTTGGGAAGGACGGGCTCATAGTAATGGCTGGAACGGAATCAATAGAATGGTCTCAAACACATTAAACACCTGATTTCCAGTGTTTAATACGATTCCATTCACTCCATTCCATTCATTATTATGAGCCATCCTCCCCTCACCAGCCTCCTCTGCTACATAAGCGATGCTATTGCTAACTCAAGCTAGCATATCTGTGGTCATAAGGCTTGAACAGATGCCTGTTGCTCATTTAGGTACTTTGAGGAGAGTGGAGGAAATTATAAGTTTGATGTTTGAAATGTCTACAAATGGCTGTCTCTTCACTTTCGGCAAATGCCTTAATTCATTCAAGGGCTGAATCCCAACACTCTAAAATGGCTTTTCCTCCTCCTCAGTGACCCATTTACACTGCAAACTAAGTCAACCTCTCATCAACTCTATGTGCCTGAGTGGATGCACTCTATTACCCCTTTCACACTATCCTGCTGACCTGAGCCATACTGTTCTGGTTCAGATGTTGTCCTTTCCAGCACAGGCTAGCACAGTACAGCTCAGCTGTTGCTCAGCTCAGTAGTGTGAAAGGGGTATAGTTCTTTGGTGACCCATGTACTGTACATTCTGTATGTGTTTGATTGAACACAGGTCTGTTCCTATGTTATATTACGGACCTCGTCTAACACAACACACACAGTAAAACAACACAGAGAGTAGAGAGGAGGAGGAGGACTGCCATCTCATGGTGTGTGTGTGTGTATGTGTGTGTGTGTATCACGGCATCGGCAGCTGGATGTGTTTAGTTTTTACAGCTACGAGTGCTACACGCACGGACGCATACACACACACACACACACACACACCACACACACACACACACACACACACACACACACACACACACACCAAGACGCCTGCCCTGCCTACGCATTTTCTGTTCTGTTTGCTAAGGAAAACACATCATGATGATGGGAAATAAACATTATATAGAGGATAAAGGGATCTGTTCTAGGAACCAGAGAGAGAAATGGAGAGAGAGAGAGAGAGAGGAGAGAGAGAGAGAGAAAGAGTGAGAGAGAGAGAAGAGAGAGAGAGAGAGAGAGAGAAAGAGGAGCGAGAGAGAGAAAGAGAGCGAGAGAGAGACAGACAGACAGACAGACAGGGAGATGAGCAAGTTAAATGGGGGTGTACTAGAGAGAAAGAGGACACAGAATGATACGAAAGACAGAAAGAAAGATAGACAGAATGGAAAGCGAGAGAGACAGAACAAAATAAAAGAAAGAGAGAGAGCGAGAGAAGGATGCTCAAGGTGCCCGGCATCCTTCTCTCGCTCTGTTCTGTGAAGGGAGTAGTACACAGCGTTGTACGAGATCTTCAGTTTCTTGGAAATTACTCGCATGGAATAGCCTTCATTTCTCAGAACAAGAATAGACTGACGAGTTGCAGAAGAAAGTCATTTGTTTCTGACCATTTTGAGCCTGTAATCGAACCCACAATTGCTGATGCTCCAGATACTCAACTAGTCTCAAGAAGGCCAGTTTTATTGCTTCTTTAATCAGCACAACAGTTTTTCATAATTGCAAAAGGGTTTTCTAATGATCAATTAGCCTTTTAAAATGACAAACTTGGATTAGCAAACACAACGTGCCATTGGAACACAGGACTGATGGTTGCTGATAATGGGCCTCTGTACGCCTATGTAGATATTCCATTAAAAATCAGCCGTTTCCAGCTACAATAGCCATTTACAACATTAACAATGTCTACACTGTATTTCTGATGAATTTGATGTTATTTTAATGGACAAAAAAATTGCTTTTCTTTCGAAAACAAGGACATTTCTAAGTGACCCCAAACTTTTGAACGGTAGTGTACATACATACATAAAGTTCATGCATGAGTACATTACTACTGACGCACAAAAATTCCACCATCCCCCTTCATCTTTAACGTCAAATAACGTCAAACCATAGAGTTGTATAGAGGGCCTGTTTTAGCATGGACCCATGGCTGCCACAGAGGAGGCCATTACAAAGATAGGAGATGAGCTCTCTAGTACATCTCTATGCATCAAACTGAAAACGTAGTTGTAAGCAGGAGGAAAGTGGACAGGGGGGGGTATATTAAATGTGGTTGGAGGGGTTAGCTGGCAGAGCATGGCATGGCAATGGGTACTACAACAGAGTGTGTGTGTGTGTGTAGCATGGCAGAGTGCATTGGAGTCAGTGTGCCCAGACTAATGCCCAGTGCCAGGGGGATACAGGCAGCAGATGCGCCCAGCCATGTCCAACACTCTACCACTCTGGCCCTCTCTGCTGTGAACAGTACTACAATGCCAGATACCAACTCACAGCCAAGTACACACCCTTCCACACACATGCAGGCGCGTGTGCACACGCACGCACACACACTCACTCACACACATTTACACTCACACACGAGGTATGAGAAAACACACACACTCCCACCAATGGCACAAACACTCTAAAGCATTGCCTGCAGAGAGTTTTACCCTTACATTACATCCAATAGGAATCTTAAAAACCCTGATACACCACTAATGGAGAGACGGTACAGTATCTCTTTTAAAGTTTTGATCTTTGTCTGACTCTGAACTGACTAAAAGCAGAAAGTGAATATAAAACCCACCAGATGCCAATCCATCTGTACTGCGTAACAACTCCTGATTTTTATGTAATTGTTGCATTTGAGATATGAGTCACCTGATTCTATTCAGTCAGTGTACAACAGTAGGGCATAGGAGGGCCATTTCAAGAGCACAAAAGATGCCTGTGCTTTAGAAGAAAGGTACAGCTGGCTTTTCATAGTCCATAAACAAGGTGAATATACTGAGTGTGTGTGTTCTTTGTCAGGAGACAGCAGTAGCACTTGTATAAGGACAAAGGAGGTCAGAGAGAAAATGAGAGAGAGAGAAAGAAAGGTAGAAATGGGATGTGAATAAAGTGTTGCAGTATGAAGGTTATCCTTTCAACAAAGGGAATGTGGTGGATTAATGATAGTAGACTCATGAAACTACATATCTTGTCTACCTTGTACTGTACTGTTTTGTACTCACTCATGTACATGCCTATACTGTAGACAGGCAAGCACACACACACAGACACACACACACACACACCGATTCTAGATGACTACATACAGTAGCAGGTATTTCACATCATGCCCTCTGGCTTTTAAAAGGTAAGTAACACATGACCACTCATGTCACACATAGACAACATTAATTGACAGACATTAAGATCTAAATGACAGATATTAACATCTAAATGACAGATATTAACATCTAAATGACAGATATTAACATCTAAATGACAGATATTAACATCTAAATGACAGATATTAACATCTAAATGACAGATATTAACATCTAAATGACAGATATTAACATCTAAATGACAGATATTAACATCTAAATGACAGATATTAACATCTAAATGACAGATATTAACATCTACATGACAGATATTAACATCTAAATGACCATGATATTGAAGCATTAAATGACAGATATTACGATCTAAATGACAGATATTAACATCTAAATGACCAGATATTACCTCTAAATGAACAGATTAGTAACATCTAAATGACAGATATTAACTCCAAATGACAGATTAAGATCTAAATGAACAGATATTAAGATCCAAATGACAGATATTAAGATCCAAATGACAGATATTAAGATCCAAATGACAGATATAAATCTAATGACCAATATAAAAATTACAAGCAATATTAACATCTAAATTTGGGGCAGATATTCACCAAATGCGTTTAAGGATCAAATCAGATATTGAAATTAAAAACAATTTTCACAAACGTTTCCCAAATTACTCCAAAGGAAGAATGACATAAGAATAACCAAAAGACAATTAAATTGAGATTAAACAACAAAAAATCCCAAAATGCCTTCAGTAAAATTAAACACTAACAACAATTAAATTAACTAATATCTTTAAAAGACCCAATTTTAAACAACACAACACAAATCAAAAAAATAACCCAACTTGTTATAGAGAATGGAGTAGCTAAACAAAACACTTACACAAAAAAATGCTCTCAGAGGATTTAACCCACACACCCACCTTCCCCAATGCCTTTAACCAGTGGGTTTAACACCCCACCACCACTTCCCAACTCATTCACGATTTTAACACCAACAATTACACAAAAAAGCAACATGTTGTCTTCTTAAAGGGTTTCCCCAAAACACTTCCGCCAATTCTTCTTCAGAACGAGTTGGTTTAAACACAAAACACACCACACACTCCGCCAAACTGTTTCTTCAGAGGAGGGGTTTAAACACAAAACACACACCCTTCGCCCAAATGTGCTTCTTCAGAGCGAGTGGGTTTAAAACACCACACACAACTTTCCCCCAACTGTGTCTTTCGAGGAGTGGGTTTAACACACACACACACACACACTTCCGCCAACTGTGTCTTCTTCAGAGCGAGTGGGTTTAACACACACACACACTTCCGCCAACTGTGTCTTCTTCAGAGCGAGTGGGTTTAACACACACACACACTTCCGCCAACTGTGTCTTCTTCAGAGCGAGGGGTTTAAAAAACACAAAAATTCCAACTCTTTCCGGGGGGGAACCACTAAACACTTCCCCAATTTGGGCTTCCCTGACTGTGTTAACACAATTCCCCCACTGTGTGTCTTAGCATGGTTAACACAAAGAAATTTCCAGATGTATATTATGGTAAGGGAATGGTGAAGAAATACAATATATGGAAAGATGTGGTACTGAGAGTATTCATTGTCAGAATAATGGCTACTGTGGGTAGAAGATATGGAAAGCATTTATGCCTGAATGTCAGTAAGAAAATGTATACAGTAACCAAGACATGTTTTCATCTAGACATATGTTATGGTCTATAATGTGTGTGTTTGTGTCTGTGTTTCCATGTCTTTGCATCATGTACAGTATATAGGCCTTTTAAAACCCACTTCACTGTAATAACACCATTTTCTCTTAGCCTCAACTGAAAACCCCCACTTAGAGTTTAGACTTCCCAGAGTGGACATATCTCTCTATGTATCTCTCTCTCCAGGCTACCTTCTCCACTTCGCTAATGGCCTCACAAGAAAGGGAGAGAGAAAGAAGGAGAGAGAGAGCGAGAAAGAGAGAGAAAGAAGGGAGTGTGCACATGAAAGAGATAGGAGAGAAAGAGATATGGGGAAAATGAGGCCAAGAGAGGACAAGACAGAGATCCACCTCCAGGCTGTCTGAGCCTGGCCTGGAACACCATGGTAATTAGCACCAGGTTAGCTGGGGTGGCCCTACCCTTCTATAGCTGCTCTGCTCTGCTGCAGCGGCCACCCCTACTGGCTATAATAAACACACACACACACACACACACTCTGTGTTGGATATAACACTCAGCCAGGTCACCCGTGATACAAGTCAGTATTCGACGTCCATCCATGTTTGAGGACGTCGGGAGATGACGTGGACGTTTCGGTAAACCTCTGATTCCAAAGGTTGCAAGTTTGAATCCAGCGATAGAAAGCTGTTTTTGATATTTTTGTTTTAAGCCTATCCCAAACCTTAACCCTTACCTTAACCATTTGGAGTTAATGCCTAACCTTAAGAATTTGGAGTTAATGCCTGAACTTAACCCTAACCTTAAAAATTCAGAGTTCATGCCTAAACTTAACCTTAAACACCTCGAAATTTGACGTTTGGAACAACTTTGAAATGTTACATTTGAGAAACATGGATGAACGTCTAATTCTGACGTGAGTCTGTGAGAGCTGGTAGATAACACTGGCTCAATATGCATGCACACGTGCACACACACACACGTGCACAAACAAACACTGCCACCGCCCCACTCCATTCTCTCTGCAATCATAACCCAGTCTCCCAGTTCACTCCTCACTAAAGCTCAATCAGAGGAAGTCACTGCATCAATCAGCAATCAGACCTCAGTCAGTTGTACTCTCTCTCCCACCCTCCCTCTGCTGCTCTTGCTCCCCCTCCCTCCCTCCCTCCCTCTCCCTCTCTCCCTTCTCTTTCTCCAACTGTCCCCCCCCTCTCTCTCTCTCTCCCCCTCGCTTGAACTGTCTCTCTCTCTCTCCCCTCTCTTTCTCTAACTGTCCCCCCTTCCTCTCTCTCTCTCCCTCGCTCTAACTGTCTCTCCCCTCTCTTTCTCTGTCCCCCCTCCCCCCTCTCTCCCTCACTCTAACTGTCTCTCTCTCTCCCCTCTCTTTCTCTAACTGTCCCCCCTCCCTCTCTCCCCCCCTCTCGCTAACTGTCTCTCTCTCTCCCCTCTCTTTCTCTAACTGTCCCCCCTCCCTCCCTCCCTCTCTCTAACTGTCTCTCCCCTCTCTTTCTCTAACTGTCCCCCCTTTACACTCTCCATCCTTCCTTCCCTCTCTCTCTCTCTCTCTCTCCTCCTCCTCTCTCTACCTCTTTCATATTCTCTCCATCACTCCTGTCTTGCTCTTTGTTTCATTTATTTATAACCACAGTTGGAGCGAGGGGATGAAAAGTTGGAGAGTAAGAGAGCGACGTTCTGAGAGTCTTTAGGGAGATCCATCCATCCTGCAATCTCTGCAGTTTAAATATAGAGAGCTCCATCCATCCTTCCTCTCTCTCCCTCTCTTCCCTTCGCCCTCCCGCTCTTCTTCACTGAGAAGACGAAACACAATGAAACTAATGCCACTACTGCATATTTCATATTGTTCATCACAACTAATATCTCCACATGTACATCAAACAGGACCTAATGAGAGAGTGTGTGTGTTTGCACTCACTCACTAAAATGAATCTGTCACAGCAAGTTAGCTAGCTGCAAGATAAACCAGCTGCAATCTGAAAGTGTACGAGTACAGTACAGCGCTGTATCGCTCTCATGGGTTTGTTAAAAGCGAGATGTGATGTGTATAATTACCGTGGTAACCGCTACTTAAGTTCGTTAAGTGATTAACAATGTTGATGATGAGGTTTTCAGATATTATTGAAACTACTTTTCCAGGTGTTCTTCTATGTAAGCAAAACTTTGTGATTAGCGCATACAATTGTTTACAATATGCATAAATTAGGGACAGGAATTTTTCTTCACCATGTGACCTGACCAGGACAAACTCTGGGCCTGATGCATAGCGTACAAGTCAACTTCTCTTTCTTTATCTTGTTGTTTAGAACTCTACCCTGATTGCATTAACTGGGATATTAAATAAAGCAAATGTCAAATGTATCAACACAAACATCCCAAACATGCAAACACACTCATACAATATTGATCCATCCACACACACAGTCCTTCCCTTAACAGATAATTAATTAATAGACACATTGGAAATATTGTATATTAAATACCATAAGCCTGGTGCAAACACTCTGAAATATGAATAACAGAGAGAAAGAGAGAGCGACAGAAGACAGAGAAAGAGAGGACCCATTCCGCTGTCTAAGCAACAGAGCAGCAGTTACAGCAGAAAACAGCTACCCCCAAATATTCCTCCCCTCTCTCCTCTCTCTTCCTCCTGGTGATGTCATCTCTCCTGAGCCGAGGCCCGGGTTTGTTATGTAACGTGAGCAATGCTCTGTTCGTGTGTGTGTGCGCACGTGTTGGTATGCTCCAGGGGGGCTACCCCCCCCCCCCATCTCCTGTCGTCGCTAACGGTTATATAATTATTTAAGGCCGTTGTCATGGAAACGGACGGGCACACTGCTGGGGGGGGGGGGGGGGGGGGGGATTATGTGTAGTCATTTCTATTGGGGGGGGGGGGGGGGGGGGGGGGATTATGAAAGGGGAAGAGAACCAGTGGTGGGCTGTACTGGACTGTTGACTAAGCATGTTGTATTAGTGTGTGGTCAGAGATGGAGGAGAGAGAGAGAGACAGAAAGAGTGCGACAGATAGAGGAAAGGGAGAAAAAAACAGAGATAAGGGATAAGCAAGCAAGATAGAGATGGAAAGGGCATAAAGTGAAAGAGAGAGAAGTAAAGAAGGAGAGAGAAAGAGAGAGAGAGCGAAATAAGAAAAGAGAGAGAGAAATACACTGAAGGGTGAACTCTGTGACATTTAAAAACATTTGGGAAGACGACAAGATGTACTGTCTGTGCCTGTTCCATGAATTTCATGTCTCATTTCTCTTCTACCAAACCAGTAATAGCCAGATCCATTTGTCAAATATAATCACCGCCTTCCATTGTTTTACACTTTTGATTCATTAAGTCGTTTGTCACTGAAAAGCTTAATAAAAAATCTGTGTTACTGTTAACCCCCCAAGAAGCAACAGAGAGAGAGAGCGATAGAGAGTGAAAGAGAGAAAGAGAGAGAGAGGGAAAACCTTCTTCCGCTAAAGCAGAGAGATGGGAAGCAGACACTAACAGGGGTTGACCCTTCCCCTCTGTATGACAAAGGGTTACCCATCTGCCACAAGTCATCTAACTGTTCAGGGATGGGAAACACTATGAAAGTCCATTTTAACATTACTAAGGGTGAATAGGAGACAACCAGTAGAAGTTTCTTATAGCACCAGGATTGTGGATTTGATTAGCGTTTTGGGAATATACTATATCTGTATAATGTGTTAACTGAGTCTCCATATCATTCATTATAATTGTATCAAATTGTAACATAATTAATTGTTGTTGCGGTGAAGCCTCTAATGTATGGGCGTCATGGCAATGATAAATAATGATGATAAATAACCGCTAAACGCAGAGCTAATGAATTCTTCGCTAACTAGCTCTTCTTAACAGGACATCAAGCACTATAGATTTACTATAGACGCACACACACACACACACTTCTATCAACGATCATCAGCTACTGGAGGCGATCCAGCCAATTATGAGTTGTGCGTTTCGGCATCTCACAGTCCTGAATAATTGTGTGTGCGCGCCTGCGTGTGCTTGTTTCAGCATTTCACACTGCGGGATAATTATGCACGGTGGGAGAGGTTGTTTTTGTGTGTGAAAGGAAAAACACAAAGTACACAAACAGCAACCCCCAAGTGACGAGGTTGGTGTAGCCACCTTTAATCCTACTGTGTAATTGCTTGGCTAAGAAAGTTTGTTATCGACGAGAACGATGGAAGGAAGATGGAGAGGGTAGGGTAGAGAAGAAGAGTCTTTAAAGGAGTAGTGGTTGAGGCATATCTGTTTGAAGAAGGTCTTCGAAAGGAACGGAGTCCGGTTTTTGGAACTTCAGAAGAGGGAGATTTGGTTCACCCTGAGGTGAATTGAAAATGTTATTCAATTCATCTTCTGGTCTTTGAAGGGATGTTAAAATCTAGACTAACATATTCACTATCATCAAAACAGAAATCTAACCAATGAAAATGATAAGGCACCATAGCATCTATAGGCCTACTCATTTCTAACCTCATCAAAGGGAATATGTTGATTGAAGCATGATGTAAACTAGTCGCTCCAGAAAGTCATCGTTTCCTTATTCCTTCCATTCCTTTTTTTCTTATTTATTGAAGAGATGGAGAGAGGATGACAGAGAGATGGAGGCTAGAGAGAGAACGCGACACAAGGCAGTAGGCTTGATTCGAACCTATGCCAACCCGTCTACACATGCATGTGAGAGGCTGTAGCCTAAACCTCTAGACCAGGGGTACTCAACTCTTACCCTACGAGGTCCGGAGCCTGCTGCTTTTCTGTTCTACCTGAGAATTAATTGCATACACCTGGTGTCCCAGGTCTAAATCAGTCTCTGATTAGAGTGGAACTGGCTTGGAGGTCCAGAGTTGAGTTTGAGGGCTCTAGACCATTCAGGCCACTTGTTCCTTCCAATCCTTTAACACTATGGATAAAACACAGATTCATATTGCCCAGCCTACAGTACTGTATCCCTGTATGCCTGGTAGATTAACAATAGCCTCAAATAACCCTGAAGTAGGCCAACCATCCAACCCAACCATCCAACGCGCTCTGTCCTACAGACACACACCACATCAATTTCACTGGCACTGGAGAGAAGAGAAAGAGATCTTGAATCTGTTTGCATGCTGTTCAAATCCGTCATTGCGGAATCCCATAGGATCACAGCAGAGCAGCAACGGTGTTTGTGATTGGATGTTGATCACTCCTACACACGGTCTATGGCAACGTCCCAAATGACACCCTATTCCCTTTATAGTGCACTACTTCTTACCAGAGCTATATGGGTCCTCTGTAGCTCAGCTGGTAGAGCATGGCGCTTGTAACGCCAAGGTAGTGGGTTCGATCCCCGGGACCACCCATACACAAAAATGTATGCACGCATGACTGTAAGTCGCTTTGGATAA